TTGCAAAAAATTCACTTAAAGCCGGTATCTCTATAGATGTTATTGCTGAAATCACCGGCCTTTCACTAGACGAAATTAAACAACTTAACCTCCAAAAGTGATCCCTTTCTTATTATTTACAGATTCTACAGCAATTCTGTTAAGTAAAGATGGAGGTATTTTATTATCTTCGTTAGCCATACTTTGCCTGATTACTACTGTTAACTATTTGCTGCATTATCTAGCTGTATCTCTGGACTATACACTTAAGGCCGACGTGTCTATTGATGTTATCTCTAAAATCACCGGCCTTTCTGTAGATGAGATTCAAAATTTAAAGTAATTATCCTAGCCTTACATTCCTAGCTTGAGTTAAATGACCTTGAATGCAAGTATTATTTAAGTCACTCCTAGGCTTCAAGCTTCCTTTTACATTACTAACTTCTAATTTACTATCTCTGCTATGTAATATCTCTTGCTTTAGTGTCGCATCTAGTCCCTTATTAAGTTCATCCTTAAATTTATCAAACTTCTTTGGACTTAACTTACCAGGATATCCTGCTTCTCTATCAGGACATGCTTTCTCTATATGTGATTTTAAAATTCCTGAAATCTCATTAAACTTACCACCTATAATTTCTTCTGTAATCTCATCATGTATTTTCATGAAATTAATATTTAATCGATGTATTGATATTTCACTTTTTGATGCAGCTTGCTTTACTACTTTCTCAAATTCATTTGTAATATTTAGTGCATAATTCTGCGCTTCTAATAAAGATGTAGCTTGATCTACTGAAGATATGTATTTTTGACCCGTAACCTTTCTAATGAGCACGTCAAGTAACATTATTGTACCATTTACATCTATTGGTGCATCAACTAAAACAGCTCTAGAATGAAATAACCCACCTACAGAGCTTTTTACCCAACTAAATAAGTCATTTATCCATGAAGATGGTCTTGTTGTACTGCTTGCTGCTATCTCAGGTTGATTACTTACATCTATAGTAAGAGGCTGTTGTGATGAGTGATGATGACTATGATCCACATGGTGATAACGGCGTTTGCGTTGTACAGGTTTTCCTCTTTCTTCCCTGAGCTTTTTTTCTAAATATTCCACAATATTATTGTGCCCCTTGTCTTTCGCAATATCTAGCGGCGTTTTATCATCCTTGTTTTTAGCATTGATATCAGAACCTTTGTTCACAAGAAATTTTACCACATCTAGAGCATTGTAATATACAGCATAGTGTAGAGGTGTCCAATCACTACTGTCTTTAGTATTAATGATAGTGCCTTTATCTGAAAGAATTTGAAATATATCATTAAGTAGATTCACATCACCATTGTAAACACCATAGTGGATAGTGCTCCAGCTTATTGAGAATCGATCCTTGTTTGCAACATCATCTGGATTTCTTTCAGCAGTTTTATCAAGGAAAAGATTGACTATATCCCACTTACCATTTTTAGCAGCATATTGCAGCGGTGTATAACCAAACTTATCTTTTTCATTTATGAGAGACTTTAATCTTTCTCTTTGGCGGACTGCTTTTACTAATTCATCAGGTTCTGCATATTTACCTATAAGAAACCTGATAGAACGCAATTTGCCTTCTTGAGCAGCAACATGAAATTGTGTTTGGCCATCGTTATTTTTAGCTTCAATGTTAGCTTCGCATCCAGCCTTCTTTTGGCAAATCTCTGAAGCTTTATTAATCAGATCTTGTATTTCTGCTATATTAGACAAACTAAACCTGTCTAATCTCCGGATTATTATTGCTTCTAACCCTACATCAAATTCCAATGTAGCAATTCTATAAGACTCCGAATTATCCCAATTTTTTATATTGATTACATGGCTAGATACTTCGTCGAAAAACACCAAATCTGTATTACTACTGGAAACCCTAATCCGATCTGGAGTAATATCTTTTAATATCACTACTCCTATGCGTTCTTCATCTTGCCCCACCGAAGTTAAAGTGCCATCTTGATTATGTGTGATACTTACAGACTTAGTGAAATCTATAACATATTCTTTTATAACTTTTTCATAATCATTCTTAAGTTTATCTTTATACTCCATTATTCCATCAACCTCTTGCTGTAAACCTAAATATGGGAAAAAATTACCATTGCTCCACAGAAGAAATTTAACATCTCTCCATTTACTTTGATCATTATAAAAATCTTCTATTCTAGTCACAAAAGGAATTCCTCTTTCTCTTATTAATAAGAGATCATCTTCATCTTTATATTTCTCGATATCTTCAAGATTAGAATCTATCACTACATGATCACCTTGAAAATCCTTAGGCAACAAAAACATATTCTGAGTTTGTGTAGTGTGGAAAAAAGGAACTAATTTACCATTTTCTATAGGAGAGCCAACACACAACATTGATTGTACATAAGGAATAAAGGTTTCCCCTTTGCTGTTCATAACCATAAGATGCCTATAGCTGTTACCCTGAAGATAATTCCTTACTTGAATACGAGTATTATTGTAGTTTAAATGCAAGTTACACTGTTGAATTGAAAACTCCTCAGGAACTTCTGGCATAACTAACATATCTAATTTTTTATCATCTGAATTGTTATCTATAATAATCTCTCTTCTCTCTATGTTACTATCAATAACATACATATCACTTCCATTTCCACCTTTTGCCACCATGGTACCATGATCAAAATTTATTATATCATTTCCTGCAGAACCAAATACCACATGTTGAAGTTCAACTTTCTTATTGCTTTGTGCTTTATCTCTTATAACACCCAAAATGTTATAGTTCTTATTATTATTGAGAATTTTTTTATAATGGTTTTCAACATCATCAAATTTATCTAGAGAATGCTCTGAATGTAATTCAAATGAGTTAATCCTTATAGTTGATGTGTCTGATCTTTCAATCTTAGGAACAATATTACTACCATTTTTGTCTATTAGCAGAAAGTGAGGTCTATTACTGCTTTCCTCAACGTAATTTCTTATATCAAGAGTAAATTTATTATTTTGACCAAAACTCATTTTTAAAGATAAAGTATTACTGCTTCTAGAGTACGTGATTTGATCGCAATCATCTAATAAATCAAATTCCGGAAACACTACACTTCCTATTCCATCTACATTGATTTCTGAATGTAAATTCTTACCTTTATAGCCTGCAGTTTTTACGTAAAAAGTGTAATTGCTTTTTCCACCCTTAACTGTGGTATAAGGTGAAACAATTACTTTTTTACATCCTTCAATTACATCCCTCTCATTATCATTAGAACCACCTCTACTATCTATGATAATATCACGATCTTCATTTCCTTTAAAATGCTCAGAATAACCCATGCACAAAACCTTATCTAACTTGTCCTTTCTTCCAACATAGTGATAATTAAAGATCCCTTCATTATTAATTTGATCATTAGTTAACCCATGGCCATTTACTTCTACTCTTAATGACCCAGAGGCATTTGATTTTAAACTATAGTTAACATTTACTCCTATCACTTCATCTTTCAATTGGCTTAAATCAAGTATATTAGTAGAGTTCTTTCCTCCAATAATCTTACCTAAAAAGCTTGGGTTATTTACAAGAACATACCTATTTTCTATATTATCACCACCGGTTATTCTTTCCTCACCTGAATAAATTAGAAATTTATTGTTCCATTGATTACTTCCAACAATGATTCCTTCATCTACGTTTTCTAGATCATAAACAATCGTTTCCTCTTTTTGTTTCATATTTATTCTACTATTGTGGCTAATAACCATTGCATTATCACAATAGTACTTAGCTAACAAAACTGAACTTTTGACATCTTTTTCATAATCATCATTAGTGATCTTTGGTAAGCAAATCATGCTAGCACCTTGAATGCGATCAGGTATAACACGTGAAAGATCTTCAGTATTGGCATCTTGTCTGTTCATAACAATCTCTGCATGACCTGGAAAAAGAGTCTCATCATCTAATCTTCCAAAG